AACTCTTCATTTATTCTCTCAACTTCTTTTGTCTATGAAGACAGGATTGGGGGTGGTGGATGAGTGGAATGACTGGATGAGATGGTGCAGAAAAAGAAAAGAAAAGGGAGGGGTGATGATTAGAAAAAGGATGGGGCTGAGGAAGGAGGGGGTGAGGAGGGTTAGGGAAGGGGCTTTCTAATGAGCTTGTCTGGGTTAGGAGGGTATGGAAGCTGTGGAAGAAAAAGGGATGGGGTTGAGGGCTCTGGAGGCCATTGGAGGAAGCTTCCTGAGAGTTCCCCATGAGAGGGGCCACCTGACCTCCCAGTCAAGCCCAGTACATTGCCAGGCAGTCTGTGACTTGGGACAGACTGGAAGAGAAGGGTGGTGGCAAAAGACTGAACTAGAATTCTTGTATGGTTCCCTGTGGAGCTAGAAAGAAAAAGTTTGGGGTGTCTCCCAAACCCTGGACCACAGCTGCAGGTCCTAAGTATGCCACAGAAGTATGTGGATTTCCTTGATGCCTAAAAGGGGGACGTGAGTGATGCCTGGAGGAAGCAAAGTTTCCTTTGGCAATGCAAAAGTCTGTGAAAACTAAGGAGAAAAGTGATACCTCAGCCACCTTGGCCCAGGTTTTCCCTCAAGCTGGTGGAGGAAGAACAATAAAGGTAGAAGACGCCAGGACGGCAGCTGCTGTCCAGGAGGTGAGTTCCCAGGCTGGGAGGAGAGGCTGGGGTGGCCCTCCTCAGAAGCTGGGATGTGGGGGTGTAGAGATCAAAGTAGAGCAGGTTCCAGAGGGAGCCAGAGAAGTGGCAACTGCTTCTACACACTTCTTTGACTGCCCTGGAAGCCCAGGAATCACTTTCCTTCCCTATTAATATTGCCTTTTGTAACCCACCAGCAATTCCCCCTGAATGTGTGGGAGGGTTTCCCTACTCAGATAAAATCTCAAGGGTGCACCCTCACAAGGTCTCCCTAGCCCCTCAATTTCTCTAGACCAAACATCTCTTTATTTTCTAGCTACCTTGGGCCCTATGGCTTCTATCCTCCACAATTCTTCCCTCTCATCCTGTATGAGGGACTCCCAGATGAGAAGGGACTCCCCAAGCTCTATTCCCACTCTCTAAGGCCCCAAGTAAGGGCCAGAAGAATACAGACTCCATGGTGGTGAGGCTCTTTGTTCTCCTGAAGCCCCAACGCACACCCCCTCCTTTTTAAAACTGGGATTTCTCCCATAAAAAGGAGGAGGGAAGGAGTTTCAGAGCTCCCAGCTTCTTTTTTTTCCCTCCTAGGGATTATGCAGGGCACTGAAGAAAGGAGAGGGAAATCAACTGATATTTAATCTCCAGAAAAGAGGGATCTAGGAGTTGAGTTAGGAGCCACTCGTTTCTCTCATCATTCTCTGAGGCCTAGTATTTGAGGCACACCCAGCCTCACACTTGGGAATCAGGCTTGCACCCTCTTGCTGCAAAGATTACTAACTTAAATCTCTGACATTTGTTTTTAATACATCGTGCTAGAAATTCCACATCTCATCTTCAGAAAAACAGAGGCATCTGCCTCTTTATTTTTATGGAGGATGTCTTTGTAAAGTGGAAGCCAGAATGTGCATATAAATTTAATTAAATGTGTATGCAGAAATATAAACAGGCTAGCCTCAGCCTTCATGTGCATGGAGAAGATTTCCACGGAAAGCCTGGTGCCTTTGAGAGCACATCTGAGCTTGTGTTCCTAAGGGCATGTACTGGGACAGTGTGCAGATTGCATATGTCCACAAACCCAAGACAAACACACACAATGAGAAGGCACGCTGAATATTTATTTCCTATATTAGAGCTTTGAAAGGAAGAATTTTTAAAAGTTGAATTTGCCAAAGGAAGCTGAGTGATCCCCGCCCTCCTTCCAACTGGCTGCTGCAAATATTCCTTGAAAACCGAGCCCGGGCTTCCAGATCCGGCAGAGGGATCAGTTTCCATTCTCATTTAGTAAAATGAAATTCTCCATCTTTCCCTGGACATGGCAGTTCAGCTAAAGACCAAGTCCTTTCTCATTTCTCTTGATTTTCTCTACACTTGCTCCATCCTTAATCACATCGCAGCCTGAGTGAGAAGCCTGGAGGGTTGAGGTGTGGCATATCCTGGGGTGAAGGCAGCAGCCGAGGTTTCAGTCAGGCTCTCCGGGGCGGGATCGCCTCAGAAATGTAATTACTACGTTTCCACTGGTGCATATTCTCCTGGAGTGTTTAATTTGGTTTTATTTGTCTCAGCGAGATCCACTTTTTTTTTCCAGTGGGAGGTGGGGAGAAGCGACCCCAGGCTTAACGTTAATTAACCAACAAAAAGCTACTTTCCGCCGCCTGCCTGCAGTCTCATCCCTCGGTGCCTCCATGGTGGCTCCCTGCATGCCCAAGCTGTGGATCCGGAGGCTGCAAGGAGGGTGTGGGGGGGGGGGGGCAAGATCAAAAAAGAAGACCTTTCCAAGAGCTGGGACGCTTGTCCAGCCGCTTTTGGCGTTCTTTGCCCGGGACTTCAAGCTCCTGCCTTCCTCTCCTCTTAAGTCGTTTTGAGCCGTCGTCTTCTTGACGATGAGGACTTTGGTTTCCACTCTTTGCTCTCACCGCTAAATTTTGGCCGCATAGTGCCCCTAATAAATAGAATTGTAAACTCGCCGGGTTAATTAAATCTATATCTCATTGCAATAGGAATAGTTAATGCCCTTACATAAACCTGGAAAAGAACACACTATTAATTTTATTTATTGCTGGGCGCGCTGCACCCAGATCTTTCTCTGGGTCTGCCCCCATCTCCAAAGACCATGGAACGTGTCTTTTAATCCCAGCCGGCCATGGTGGAGTGGGAGGAGAAGGGCTGTGTCCCGGCCTTGGGCTGGCACATTTCTGGATCCCAAAGGAAGACCCCAGGAAGCAGATGGATTCTTTCCGATTCTTTTTTTTTCCTCCCCCCCCCACCCCCCGTTGGAAGCCCCAATGAGTGCTAGATCCACATCGCGCATCCACGGAGCAACTCACAGGAGAAAGCACCTCACCAGGCCTCAGCACCAGGGCTAAGATCCCCGGCTGCTTGGAATTGGCGTACCCACCCCCTTCAGCCAGGCCTCTGGCAGACCTGGAGGCCAAGGTCACAAGACTCAGTCTAGACACCGCCAGGCCATGTTTGCTCTCCTGGTTTTACCCTGACCTTGTACTCTGGCAGCAGGGAAGAGCCAGCTACTAGCAAGAACTTCCCCCTTGGTTCATTTATCCTCCCTCCACCACTATGGTCCCCACGCCCAGGTTAGCCTGTGTTTCAGACCTCTTTCTGTTGTGTTTTCCCTCTTATGAGCAACCCAATCCGAAGCCTCCCTCTGAACTCCCTTCTGGATGAAGACGAAAGTGAAAAAAATATTTTTCTAGGTAACTGATTTCTTCTCCACTGACAAACACCCCCTTTCTCCTCTAGTGAAAACGGTAGCAGAACACAGAGCAGACTCCACCATTTGCTCTCGGGTTGGAAAATCCCAGTGAGTCTGATTTAACCTGGCCAGTGGCTACTGTGTGGTCTTGGCCCTCGCTAAATATGAACGCAAGAGCAAGGGCACCCGTTCTTAAAAACCCATGCCACAGGCAGGAACAGCAGAAGATGCTGCAGCCCCTTGACCCTCACACCCCCCCCAATCTTTATTATCTCTTCTTCAGAGAAGCCCTGAAGCCCTAGGCTCAATATTGCTGAGATGTATCTCAAAAACTGAGGACTGTCAAATTGGGCCTAACAAGTTGGCCACCGGGGAGGAAAGAAGAAGCTTCTTAAACATCAGTAAGTTGGTGCTCTTTTTTTTTTTTTTATTCTCATCTAGAGAATGACCTCAGAATGCCTGGGAGCTAGGGTGGAATGTCCAGCTCCGAACTGCATTGGTCTTAGATCTGCCCAGCGCCCCAGCTCTCACCCTCCCGGACCAGCACGCTGCCCATATCACTGAGGGCTGAGGTCGGGAAGCCTTGGGCACCCACTGTTAACTCAGAGAAGGGTTCCTCCGAGGGTACAGTGCCCACCCTTCCTCGCCCCCTGCTCTCTTCCGTGTGCTAGACCAGGAATGCTTGCTGTTGTTTTCACTCAGGACATTTCCCAGACCGAATCTATTCCACCCCACGCTCCATTTTCTTGGAAAAAAATCCCAAAGACTTCTATTTCTATTGTATATTGGGGTATCTTCCTATTCTATGCTCCTTCTTTTCCTTATCATTTCTCCTTTTATCGCTGAGAATATTCCATTCCACTGCACCCCACCGGGGAAGTGGGGTGTGTTTGGGGCTACAGTGTCCCCCCAGGCCTCTCCACTCCACGTAAGGAAGTCTCAGACGATAGGGGCTTTACAGACAGGGGCTGGCGATGGAGAGCAGAAGCACAAAGCTGTATCAAAGGCTGTCTGTGCGGCGTCGGTTCTCTCCAGCCGCCCAAGCCAGGGGGCACTCCACACCCTGCCCGTGCACTCTCTGCCTATTTTCAGTGTTTGTTTTCATTTATTTATTAAAAATACGTTTCTCCCTACCCTCGGTCCAAAACACCCAATCCAGAGAATTTCGGTAGTCCCAGAGAGCGGCTTTTGGGTAGGGGTTGGTCTTCCTCCGCACATATACTAAGCCTCGGGGAGGTGCCTGCAAACAGCTCTCTCCTCCCAAGATCCCTTTACGTCGGCCAAATTCGGTGCCCGACCCCTACCCCCACCCCCGGGGCCTACCAGGGGGCGTTGCCCTATCCCTTTAAATCTCCCAGTGCCCTCCTCTTTGCCCCCTCGGAAAGCCAATCAGCAGAGCCCGCTTCTCTTTCTCCCCGCCCCACCTGGAGGGGAGGGAACCCCAGGAGACCAGGCCGAGCGTCACGTGCGGGGGCCGCGTCACTAGGGCGCCGGAGGGGTGGGGTGGGAGGCTGGAGGGAGTCCGCGGATTTCTTAATGAAGTGTCTCCGCATGCGCGGAGGGAGCCTGCAAGGGAGGGGGAGCGAGCAGAGGAGGAGAAGGGGAGGGGTGGGAAGGGGAGGGGAGGGGTGGGGGAGGGGAATCGGGAGCAAGGTGTCTCCCCAGCTCTCTGCCTCTGGCAAGTGGAGTTTTTAAAAAGCTCGAGCAGATCATGTCATGACGACTTCGCTGCTCCTGCATCCGCGCTGGCCGGAGAGCCTTATGTACGTCTATGAGGACAGCGCGGCGGAGAGCGGCGGCGGTGGGGGAGGCGGCGGCGCCGGCGGCGCAGGGGGCGGCTGCAGCGGCGCGAGCCCCGGCAAAGCCCCCAGCATGGACGGGCTGGGCAGTAGCTGCCCGGCCAGCCACTGCCGCGACCTGCTTCCGCACCCCGTGCTGGGGCGCCCGCCGGCTCCCCTGGGCGCCCCTCAGGGAGCCGTCTACACGGACATCCCGGCCCCCGAGGCGGCGCGCCAGTGCGCCCCGCCACCGGCGCCCCCCACTTCTTCCAGCGCCACCCTGGGCTATGGCTACCCGTTCGGGGGCAGCTACTACGGCTGCCGCCTGTCACACAACGTGAACCTGCAGCAGAAGCCTTGCGCCTACCATCCGGGCGACAAGTACCCGGAGCCGTCGGGCGCCCTGCCCGGGGACGACCTGTCCTCCAGGGCCAAGGAGTTCGCCTTCTATCCCAGCTTCGCCAGCTCCTACCAGGCGATGCCCGGCTACCTGGACGTGTCGGTGGTGCCAGGGATCAGCGGGCACCCGGAGCCCCGCCACGACGCACTCATCCCCGTCGAAGGCTACCAGCACTGGGCGCTCTCCAACGGCTGGGACAGTCAGGTGTACTGCTCCAAGGAGCAGTCTCAGTCCGCCCACCTCTGGAAGTCTCCCTTCCCAGGTAAGGAAGGTGCCTGCCTGGCCGCCTCCGGCGAGCCTCCCCGCCCCGCCTGCCCCGGGGCCCGCGCCCCAGCCACCCCCGCCGTCTGGCCCCGGCGCGCCTGCTCGGCGGGGCTGCCCGGGAGCCGGCCGGGCGAGCTGAGCTGAGGAATGCGCCGGGGAAGAAATCTGCTCCGACACGTTCCCCGGAGCTGCTCCGCCGAGGGTGAAGCAATCACAGGCGCCGAGCGCCGGGCCGCCGGCTCCGCTCGGCTCGCGCTGGCCGCCTCCTCCCCCTGCCCACTCCAGCCTCACCCGAGGCCGATGGGCCCCGCAGCCTGCTGCCCACCGAACTGGGGGGCGGTGAGCTTCGGAGGCCCTAGCCCCACAACCATCAGGACAAACCCACCTCCCACTGCATAAGTGAATGGAAAATAAGAATCCCAGGGACTCCTTTGCCTGAATTTTCGGGATCGCTCAGCAACTAGACAGGTTTGTTGTTTTGTTTTTTTTTAAGCGATCTAATCTTGCTAGGATTTGCCCCAGTGTAGTGTGATTCCTTTTTTTCTTTTCTTATTTTTTAAAAATTGGCCACAAATTGCCCGAGTGTTGACAAGAGCTAAAACATCTTACAGGGGATGCAGAGAGAAAGGGATTTACATCCCTCCTTGGGATTAAAAAAAAAAAAATTCTCTCTGACAAACTGATGTCCCCGACAAAAAAGAGTTAGTGCTGACCTAGACACAGAAAAATGAGCATGAGAATGAAGTAGAGGGTAGGACAAAGGCCGGGTCTGGGGACCTCCTCAGTCCTCTCTGATTATATGTGTGGAGAGTCATCTCTCTCCTTTTGATCCTATATTTTAACAGCAAAGAATCCTGTAATTCCTACTTTTCCTCTGGGGAAAGGCCAGTCAGAGGTTTCCCAAACCAGTGTTGGAACCTTCTAATTCAGTACTACAGGGACAAATCAGGATTTGGGGTTGAGTGAATCCAAGCATTTGAACTTGCTCTAGCAGCTATAAGCAGAACTGAGCAAAAAAAGGGGTGATTGGATCCTTCCTCCTGGTGCTACAGTGGTTCCGGATGTCCTGAGAAGCCATCCATATATTCCAGTGTTTTCCAGGCTCTCCCCACCAACAACTCCAACTCCACACTCTGGCCCTGGAACAAATGTTTTCACTGGAAAGTTTAGAACAGAAGCTATCCTATGGAAAGGCTGAAATTCCTTTGCAACTGGTAGTAGGGATAAAGGTAGACAGCAATGGGGTAGAAATCATTGAATTATTTTACAGAATAAATAAGATTCTTTTTTTGAGTCTAGAAAAATTATTTTAATAACATGAGTGGGTCACAAAAGGACAATTATATAAGACATTTTCAAAAGGTACAATTCCTTACCACTAGGCCACCAAAACTCAAGAAAAGGTTTACATGCATAGAGCCAATCTTAGATGGCTAAAAATAAGATTCTTGTAAATATTATTAAATTACTAAGTACAGCAAAATTTAATACAACTGTGGGACCCACTTCTAGGTGCCCATTTCTGGCTGCCAGAAGATCTGAGGATGGTAGGATTTTAGTGCATGGTGCCATGCATCACCTACACTGCAAACAATAACATATTCATACGATGTCATTTCTATTCTAATAATCTGGTATAAAGTATATAATAACACATTTCTACAAGACAGGCAAATTACACATAGGTATACAGTAGTACATAATTGAGTAAAGGTTCTTTAATTCCCCACTTCACCCAAATGAAAAGCATCTTGGGAAATGGGGATCCAGCAGAAATTCCTGGAGCATGAGAAGTCAGCGAACCATGCCAAGGAGTGAGGATCAGTTGTAGCAGGTGCCCACCAGGGCTCCTGTGGCTGTGGGTGGGCAGGCTGAGAGCAATAAGTGTGAAGGAGAAAAGAAGGAACCATTGTGGCTTTCTTATGTATGTGTGTGGAATGGCATGGGCATGAAGGACTGAAGAAAAACTCAGAAATCTCTTTGGGCAAAATAAATATCTCAATCCCACAAAAAAAAATCTTCTGAAAATAAGCATTCTTTTATCACAGCGTCCTAGAGAAAGATATTATAATATATAAAAAATACAACCCAGTTGAGATTCAATATACTTGCAAATTACAGCATGGGAATGGATATAAAATCTATTTCAGTGAGTCTCAATAGCTGTGTGCTCACTTACTCCCCTTGTGGAAACAGAATCAGGTTAGTGTGTCTCAGTGAGTACAGAGGTCCAGGAGAGAGGCAGATGAAGAAAAAAGAAAAAAAAATCCCTCACCCTCCATCTCTCTACCCACACAGAGATCCTTTAGAAGTAGTGAGATTTCTAGATAACTCTGTCTATGCAATTGTGGTTTGTTCGGCAGCATCTAGGCATAAACACTACTGTCTCTCTTCAGCGCCTCTGGCTCTGAGAAACCTCATCCATGGCAGTCTAGTTAGGTGTGGGAGATGGAGGCAATTGTTCAGGAAGAGCCAGATAATTAAGGCCAAGATATGTTGTGGCTTCTTCCCTTCCCCAGTGGTATAGAAGCTTGTCTTACTTCTGTATCGTTAGATATTTTTGTTTGTTGGGGTTTTGGTTTTTATTCCTCCCTATGATGAATGTAGAAACTTTTTTTTTTCAAATAGAGAGAAGTAAATTCCAAGAAAGAATCGGAGATTGAGAGAGTGAGAAAAAGGAAGAAAAGGGAAGATAGCAGGGTATGAGAAGAGAGTGATAAAGAGAAAGTCAACAGCAGATTCTTTGGGTCTTTCTGAAAGTCCCTACTGTCAAGCCTTTTGGGTTTCAGTTGAGAAGAGCAGTGTTTCTCACAAAAGCAGACCAGGACAATGTTCTCCTTAAAGCCTAGAGCCAGATTATGTGATAGATAGTCTCTAGCAAGTAGCCAATAGCCAGGCCCTATGCATCAACCCCAGGAGAAAGCTGCAGATGAACATTGATCTGATTTTCATTCTATTCCCAGTTATCAGATTTTTTTTTTTCAGGCATGGAATAGTTTGTATACATGTTCTGGGCAAAGGTTTTTTGTAAAATTAATAACCGAATCCCCACTCACTGTAGACAGTGTATACATAAGATGGAGCTGCCAGATATTTCTACATATATAGATTCCACTTCCTTTCTGAACAAGGCTGCAGACAATGTAGAGGAACTTCTCTGAGAATGAGAAACTAGGGCTAATTCCCTAGGAGGGCAAAGCAACCATCAGCTTGTTTTGGTCCATGAGAAATGGCCCAGTCATTTTATTCAGAGACAACCAGTTGTGTATTTTTAACTGATTTTTGGGATCATGTTGATTAAACCTCATTTGAAATTTAGAGTTGATATTTAGAAGACCAAATTTGGTAGAGAATTATGAGACTTTCCAGAAAGTAGGGTTCAAAAACAAGGACAACCAACTGGTTATTTCAGAAACCAAAATCCACTTTTACCCTATTTTGCTCAATGATGAAAAAGGAGGTGCTTTGAAGCTGAATTGTTCCAGATGACTTGTTACCATTTTTCAAAATTACTATACAGCATCATTGCGTTTACAGTTAGAAAATCTGAGTTTAAAATCTGGTTTTGACACTTACGCTACTATACTCACATTGAGCCTCAGATTACTGATTTTATAAAATGGGTTTAATAAGCTAAACTTGAAGAAAAAATATTTTGAGGGGGAAAAAACTGAAACTACAAAACAATCATGTTATCACTACTTTACCTTCATTGTTTATTTTCGTTCCCAAGTTATTAGTTTCCTGAATCATATCTACATCTGTAACTTAAATTAGAACTGATTTTTTATATCTTCTATCAAAAAATATTCCTTTTAACCTATAGATCGTGAGCTGTTAAAGTGAAGTTGGGTTTTTTTTTAGATTAATAAAAATAATAACAAACAGCCTTCATCTGTTTATACAAGGCAGAGAAAAGATAAGCCTCACCATGAAGTCAGTGGAACCCAAGGACAGGATTCCAGCTCCCTCATATTCTCCCTGAACATTCTGGTTCCTTCTGCATTTGACTGTAACCACTTCCCTCCCCATCTTGAGTAGACAGGGATCCCTAGGAGAAGGTATTTCATAAAAGTCTCCAGAACACTTTGTATTTTCACCATGTGTCTATACTTCCAATGGGTTATAAGAATGAAGAGGAAATATCAACTATCCATCCCTTTTTATTAGCTTCTTCCTAGAGATGCCTAATAATTATACAGAAAAAGTTCAAGGATTAATTATTCAAATATCTCCCTCATTCCTCCATTCCCCAGTGAAATTGTTGCTATGACTTTTCACTGACAGGGATAAAGGTGGACTAAAAATGTAATAAAATATCTATTTGACTTTCCCCCCTCTCCCCACTCCCCAACACCTACCCCTGCGAAATTTCCAGATCCGAAAGAAAAGAGAGATTGAATGGTAGTGGTTGAGATGACAATATATTCAGGGCTTAAAAGTAAGATTAGTGCATAGGGATGGAGGCAGTTACTTTAGCTTTGAAGGAAAGGAGAGGGCAGGGAGTATACTATTTATGAATGGACATTTGTAAAGGCCTCTGAAAGGAGCCATGGAGTTATTTTATGGAAGAAAGAGCAATGGCCCTGTTGCTCTTACCAGTTGCACACCCTGGAATATGAATCCCTACTTTCAGAGATCTAATTCCCTATGTGTTAATGGTAGGTCCCCCGCCTTGGGTGGTGGTAGGTGGCTCACACAGTTGGAGCTCAAGTCCTAGGGTGATTGGCCTCTGAGTAGGCTGGCTTCATCATAGTACTTTTCTTCTCTATCTGCGCAAGCCTTGGATCCCTTTGCAACGCCAGTACCCAAAGTCGTGAGGACCCACAGTGGCTCCCTCTACCCACCACACTGTCCCCTAAACACACAACAGAATGGGGGCCTTATCTGGACTGACTGAATGGAAGCTGATTCCCTGCACCAAGGAGGGATTTTTTTTAAAAAAAATACTTGCAATCTCGCAGGTACTGCAGGCCAAGAGGGAATTAGCAAAGGGTTAAGGACCCTCCTACTGTACAGAGCCAAAGTGGATCTTGGGACAAGAAGAAAAATCAGTAATACTGATCTCAAGTCTATTTAAATATGTTTATTTCTGCCCATGATCTATTTTTTTATTCATTTGAACACTTTAAATGTTGCACCGAAATGTCATTTATCTCGATTATTTAGTTCAGCACTTACCCGAAACTTTGCACTGCAGGGAGTCCCTTACTAGCTTCACTTTCTCTGTGTGTTTATTAATAAGCCATGCAAAGGATGAAGAGGTGGGAACTTTCCACTGACCCCCATGGATCTCGTACCCCGAACCTCTGCAGCTCCCAAGGCTCCAGCCCTAGCCCCCAGGAACGTCTCACTCCCTCCCACCACCTTTTCTTTCCTTTCCAGACGTGGTGCCCCTGCAGCCAGAGGTGAGCAGCTACCGGCGTGGGCGCAAGAAACGTGTGCCCTACACCAAGGTGCAGCTGAAGGAGCTAGAAAAGGAGTACGCGGCCAGCAAGTTCATCACCAAAGAGAAGCGCCGGCGCATCTCGGCCACTACAAATCTCTCCGAACGCCAAGTCACCATCTGGTTCCAGAACCGAAGGGTCAAAGAGAAGAAGGTGGTCAGCAAATCATCGAAAGCGCCTCATCTCCACTCTACCTGACCACCAACCTGGTCACCTGCCCTGTCTATTTATGTCACCGCCTTGTACCATAATGGAAACCACCGAAGGACGCTTCACCAGTGCAGATGAATATTTAATATTAACAGTAAAGAGGAACCGCGCTGCTGGGAGGCAGAGGGATCACTTTCTGCCACACTACTTCCCAGCCCCAGCCCTCAAATCTCCATCCAGACGGAACCCACCTGGCATCAGCAGTTCTAGAGGTGGGTCTGGGTGGGCTGTGGGTTTAAGGTTGCCGGCCTCTGTTCCCCCTGCCCTTACCCATCCCTCACCAGAGAGTGAATGGCAGCGGAAGAACTCAATCATCATTCTGGTCAAAGCAGGTTTGAGGAAGCCCAATGAATCAGATTCCTGTCCTTTCCTCCACCCAGGAGGGTGGAAGACCCTGCTGAAGGTGTGGCCTCCAGGCAGAACCTTGCAAGCTCATACTTCCCATCTGCTTCTTCTTCCTTCCCCCTGTTGTTCCTCCTACACTCCAAACCTAAAGTTTCCCAGTTTAGGTTTTCTGTGCATATTTTTAATCTCATTAATATTAATAATAATATTAGGAATCTGGCAGCGTGACTGGAGTTCTGATGCTCCCTAGGTGTTCTTTCTTTCCTGTTTCAACAAAAGCTGGAGTCTTTTAGATCCCTGCCCCCAACTCTAGCCAAGAAAAGCGGGATTTTGAAGCCTTCTCTCCCATCACCTCCCCTGTTCTGCCCTATAAGTCAATAGGGGGAAATCCAAGGAAGACACAAAGCTCCAACCACAATATTAAATACATCTGAGCTTATTCTCTCTTGCCTCTAGTCAGTCTCATTTTCTCTGTCTGTGAGTCTATCTCTCTTTCTGTATGTGTGTAGCAAAGTGGAAGATCAGGCCAGGCACAGAAGTAGATTTTTAAGATTGGTTTCTTTTCCAAAGAGATGGAAATGGGTCCCTCAGACCTCAGGACTCCTCATCTCCCCCTATGGTTGCCTTTCCACCAAGGCCCCATGGCTGGCATAGAGACCTTACACTTTCACTTTTACTGATTGTCCAGGAAAATGCAGTTTTCTTCCAGGAGGCTAGAATAAATCGCCCCCAATTAGCCATCTAGTTTAGAAGCTGCCTAACATTTCCCTCCTCAAAGGCCAACTTGGTGCTCTGGGGGCCCCCTCACCACCCCCTTTCCCACTGGCGCATTACAAACAGTGTTCTTTGGAAATGTTCATCAGAAGTAGGCTCTTTCTTTTTTTAAAAATGTTGTGTATCTGTATATAGTATTGTGATGTCAGAATGACAATGTACTGAATGCAAAAAGAAACAAAAAACCACAAATCTGTTTTTAAAATAAAAAGTTTTGTTGCCTTGATTGTATTGCTCAGATTCCTTCTGAAGCCTCTTCTGTCGCCAACTCTTCAAAGCAATTTAAGATGCCTTTTTTAATTTTTTTTTCAGTTAGAATGGCCAGAGAGAGAAGCATATAATCATCACTCACATCTGGGTAGATTACAACCTATATTTTGGCTTCATTTATGATTTTAAGTGTTTTTCAAGTTGTTGACACTATTAAAATATGTAAAAACCTCTCCCCATCCTTATGTCCAACATAAATGTATACATTTTGAGCAGGATATAGTCAGCAAATGAAAAGGCTTCTGAGCAGGTGAGTTAGAACTGTATGTTGCTATTCACTTCCATTCATAACTGGGGTTCAGATCTGTGTCTGAGAAGGTAGCATCTCAATGAGCTACCAAAGTCAGTGGCAGAGTGGAGTCAATCCCAGATTCCTGGAGGTTCCTAGGGCTCCACCGCTTCCAGAGGGACACAACTCTCTCCACCCAGGCCAGCACTGGTTCTGGGCAAGGAAACACAGACTCCCAGGGAGAGCTGTGAGCTCAGCTTTCTCCGGCTACAGTCTCTTCCATTGACCTATGCAGAAAAGTCTGACTCTAGGGCTCCATGAGCCCCCAGTTTGCCTATCCAACCCCACTTTCCCCTTTAGCATCCATGGGAAAGCCAATCTTGCAGGCAACTGGGAGCCTGTGTAGACTCTGCCACTAATTTGTTTTCCCTGTCGCGTCTGTGCCTATCTCCCTATCTGGCAGAGTTAATGAGATCGTTAAGTTGTCAGGTTAAGAGACTTTTAAAAAGCAATATAGCCTAAAACAATGTTATCTCAGATTAAATCTTTACTGCAGCAATTTTTATTTATATATAATATTTTTCCTCTCCTGAGACACAGAAAGACTGGAGGCGTTAGGTTGAAAATTAGAGTTTTCTGATTTCCCTTTGCCTGATGTCTGAAGCTTTTAAAATTTCATTTAAGTAAATTTTCTAGAGGTGAAACACACACACACACACACACACACACACACACACACACACACGGGGAGGGGGGCGGAGATTGAGAGACAAAGAGCCTGAAGTATTCACTGCCTGCTGAAGATGAAGATCCCTTACTGAGCTGACTGCCTGTCATGTTCTACTTGGTTTCAGTTCTGGGTTAACTACCTGAGAACCACATACAGAGCGGGGGGGCGGGGGGGGTTCAGAAGGAAGTAGTGAATCTCCAGAGAATAAAATTTATTCTTAACTTCTCCCCTTTTCTCTCTCCTCCTACTTCCCCAACCTTTCTCCAAGATCTATCCATTTGACTCCTCAGAGTTGGAAAGGGTTGGAAACTAAATGTATGGTTGGGTCAGGAAAAAGAACTGAGTCATCAAGAGACCTGGAGTCCCTTAGGTGTTGGCCCCAGCCCTCTTTATTGAGAGCACATAGTCCAGTCCCATGACACAGCTATAGATAACGTGAGCATTGGAGACTTGGTGTAGTAAGAGAATCCCAGAGTTCGAAAGACTCCTTCAGCTTTGCACACTAATCCACACAGTCTACCTGAGTGAGGGACTATGCTGAAGCCCCAGAAGAGGACAATGGCAAAGATAATTGGAAAAGTTTGTTCAGGTTCCTTGGGGTTGCATTGGAACACCAGTAATCCAGGCAAAGACTTTAGTTTCTCTGAACACTTCTAAGCCCAGTGTTGTAGGTGCTCAAAGCCCTCTCATTCACCAGATTAAACATGCCTGGATTGATATTAGAGAATTATCATGTCTGGATTAATTCTGAAAATGCCTCTCCATAAAAATAAGCAAGCACATGAACAGAAATTGTTGTATAAGAGAGATACTGTGCAAGTGTGTGTTCTGAGAAGGTAAGGTCTGGAAATGCATTATTCTTCCCCTGATTGTGATGGTCCTGGGCCTTTCCCTTCTCCCAATTCTCATTAGGAGACTCCACAAGATATTCCTATAAAGGTGTGTGGGAAGGGAGAGAACAGAGACGTTCCTAAAGCCTTGTGTGTTCTCTCTCTCTCTGAGTGTGGATGGGTATAAGTAGGAACTCCTGCTACAGCACCCTCATCTGAGGGAGCAGGTGTGTTTCCTTCATTGTATTTAAAATTCTAAAAGCCTTTGCCTTCAAGGCCAGTCTCCTAGTGAGAGTGAGGCTGTTTGAGAAGATAAACTTGAAGGTACAGAGGGGTAGGAGCTCAATAGCTTTGCTTAAAACAGACAGCAGGAACTGAGGGGGCTCTGATGGGATTGAGGCCCACAAGACACACACACCCCATGTGGAGATCCAGGTTGCTGGAGAAGGCTCGGTTAGGTCCTTTCCTCAGCTTCAAGGCAAATCCCTTCTTCCCTTCTCCAGCTCCAGGACCAGAGCAGGCAACTTTTGGCTGATAGTCCCACATAGCAGGAACCCACCTGAAGGTTCAAGGTCAGCAATTCTCTAGAGATATGTTCAAGACAGATCTCAGAGACCATCTGCTCCTGAAGCTAGTCCCTGACGGCTAGGTCAGCAGTGCAGGGCCAGCAGGCCAATGTGGGCACACAAAGCAGTACAGGCCCTTGAGGCAGCCACCGCCTCCCAGAACATCACTCCTCCTGGAGCTGGGGGTCCCTCAACGGTCCCTATTTCATTAAAAAAGAGGATCTTCCAACCTAGGTTCTTCTTGGGCCCAGCTCCCCCCACCCCCAACATCCAAGTGTCCTTTTCTGCAGCCTACACAGACCGGAGCTGGTGACGGATTGAGGGGCCCAGGGGAGCAAGGAGCTTCTGGGAGGAGGAGGGGGCCAGGGTTTTTTAGCAACCAACCAGGCTCTTCCTCTTTTAGCCTTGACCGTGACTAGGTCTTTCTGACCTTGACATCACAGGGAGCACAAGGGAGGGGGAAGGGTAGAAGAGGCCTTGATCTTCCGGTGGCCAGAGAAGGGGAGGGCTGCTCGCCCCCTTGACGCGCCATCCCCCTTCTTGCCGAAGCCCGCCGCCTCTGTTTACACACAGAGGAGGTGTCGTCTCCAGTCTAGACAGGGGCGCTAATAACGCCCATAAAAAGCGGCCTCTCCAGAGATGCTCTGTAACTCAGCTCCCGCGCCGGTCGCCGGCCTCTCCTTCCCGCGCCCCGCCCTCGTCCGAAAGCTCGCCTGGCCCTGCGGGCGGCCTGGGGGTGAGGGGACCAAGATGGTTTCCGGAGCTGAGAACCCTCTGCCCTACACCCTTCTGAACCTCCTCGGTCTCCAAAAGTAAGTGGACGCCTTTGTACCATCAGCCTTGTGGATCTTCTGCCCCTGCTCTGATCAGACCCCCGACCCCTGGGCTGGAGGCCTGGATTTTGGAAGTAGTTGTCTAAGTTAGGCGAGCAGCTCTCAGGCAGACCCCTCCAGAGCTGACCCTGGCCAGAGACCATCATCCTGAGGGGTGAAGGACCCTCGAGTCAGTCTTCACTCCCTACCCAGCTTCGAGGCCCGTGACCCCCGGGCCTAAGGCCCCGCGCCCGGCCGATTCGCTGCAGGCGGCTGGGGGTGTGGCCGGCGCTGGAGGAGGTTCCTTTATTTATTTCTTTTTAAACTCGGTCCCCACACCTTTCCTAACTCACCCGGTAATTCGCTAGGCGGAGGAGATCCTCTGCTGGCGGAGGGGGGAAATGTCAGAGCCGGAGAAGTGTTTAACCATTGGCGCGCCAAAAGGAAAAAAAGAAAGGAGAATGACACATTGAGGGACCACCAGGTGAAGGTGGGGAAAGGGCCTGTCTCCCATATGACCAGGGCTGAGATCCCAACCCCATATCATTTTGCAGTAGGTAGGGTCTGGAGGCAGGCGGGGGGCACCGCAGGACAGAGGCCCGAAGGAGGTAAGGATGCTATTGGCCCCGTCCTAAACCCTTAACCCCCCAAGTTTGTGTAGGCTCCTCTCTCGGCCCAGCTTCGGACGCCCTGGAAAGCCGTTTTTCGCAGGAAAGGGCACCCCAGTCTTCCTCCTTTCTTAGCATCCTGGGGGGGGGGGCCTGGGAGTCTTGTCTGTGGACTTTAACCCTGAGCTGTGAAGCAGTGTTAGAAGCGAGTGAGCCCCATACGTGTTCCCTTCAGCCTCATCTGAATTGGACACAAGTCCCCTTCCCCAGCCTACCTTGCCCCAAAGAAGGGGACAAGAGAAGA